TTCTCCTCCCTCCCAGCTGCCAACACCAAAGTCACAAGCTGAGAAGAACAGAGGTCCGCCGGAGACAGTGGAGCGAGTGACAACGAGGGGGAGGGGAATATATGGCCAGGAGCCAACCTATTGTGTACACACTCACTCACTCACTCAGTCACTACTTCATCCACCCCTCCCCCAATCTTACTTATTCATCTTTTATACTCCCTCTGACTCACTTCTTCACAACCTTCTCTCTGCTGTGTCCTGACTACAAACATGCCCCACTGCTACCATCGATAGCAGACAACAGCTGTCAAACAGAAGCAGCACACATGGTTCAACAAGGTCAGATATGTATGACAGTGTGTGTATATATACATGTATATATTTATATTGGGCAAAACTCAATAATAGTTAAATAACTTCAAGAGCTAAACCTAGCCCCACAAAACACCAACAAACCACAATAACATAATATACATAGACTGATACTTGGAAAATAGTCATAAACTATAAGATAAAAAAACAAACACTCAACAGGTCTGTAAAGACAACATTTCTGCTACACCTTGCCTAACAGAAAACTATGAGAATGGAAACTGCAACATTCTGATGAGCTTATGCTGTTTACACATGCAACCCAACACACAACAGCTTTGTGATAAAAGACCCAGCGACTCGGCATACCTCAGTTTCCTTAATTTATGGCTTGATAAGCCCCCCCCCCCCCCATCCCCAATGTATGACATCATGAAGTTTGCAATCAAAGAACAGTTCTGATCATTTTTCTGTGTTGCTTGTTGTGTTTAAAATGTAAGCAGGATCCTAGAGAGTTTTCATTTCTTCATAAAAGTATGGTAATGAGTAAGCATCAAAATATGACAAGGGTTTAGCCGGGGCCAAAGGTGAAGCTTGAGCAAGCTTATCTTAAAAAAAAAGAAAAAAAAAAAGAGAGAGAGATGCACTCAACACATCCAGTTGATTTGCTGAATCACCTCTACTCCTTAGGTTACGTGTCCTCACACTGTTGTGTTTATTAAACATTCTAACAACCACGTCATATGACATTAGACATTTCTGTGTGGTCATGTGACGCACCCACCACCCTTCTGGCCCCTCCTTTCACCAAATGCTCTTTCCAACGTAGCAACCATAGCAACGGCCAGTTTAAACCAGTTTGTGACACGTAGCCTTCATTTTGTATGAAGTGTGAAGCACAGTTCAGGTGCTGTGGGAGAAAATGGAGCCCAGGCCCAAAGAGCTTCAACTTTTTAAATTGAGGTCAGCCTGCTGACAAACCACAGTGTGACTTCCTGTATGACTCCTGTCAGACCAATTTCTGGTAAATGTAGAAAGAGACTGTGACAGATAGCTGTACTTGGTGCTGAGTAGGAAAACCTTTATTTTTCATGCAGTGTGAAAATCTGCAAAACTATGCACACACACAAGGAGAATGTTCAGACTATCAGTTACAACTGCAAATCAAACTAATGATCTTTTTGTATAAGGCAAAAACATCAGCTCATCTTCCACACAGTGTTTTTTTGTGGACTAGGTGTATTTACTTTCTCTGCAAAGAAAAGCCACGGCCTTGAACATTTCTACCCATGGCCTTTTTCTGATTTACAAATCCTTATATAATGTAAAGATTGAGACCAAACGCACAACACATATGAATTATTCGTAATATTAAGCAAATTAAACGATACAGAAAACATGCAGGCGCTGCAGGATTATGCATAAGACAACAGAAATGTGTCATCAAACTACAGATTAAAAATAAACAGGAATGTACTGGCACAAATATACAATAATTTGAAAACTACAGCTGACTAAAAATAACCTTTTAAGCCCACAATTGTCCCATTTAAGCAGGTAAAAAGGGCCTATTAAAGAGTGTAGGACTGCAATTCACTAAACACTCTCATAAACTATTAATAAACTCTTTTGCTATTTTGTGTACAGAAAGGTCTCATGGTGTGGTGCACTCACCCCGTCCTCTCAGATACAGTTTCTGCCTACTCATTAAGTAGCAGTTGGGAAAACAAAGATGTTTTATAATATGCCAAAATCTGGAAATGTTCTTCCTTTTCACCTGCTTTATGAAATTGAAAAGCTGGTGGTGATAATAACACCCTACAATGCATCTTGTTACCAAAGTATGTCTAACACTCAAATGAGTCACTAAAGATCGATATTAATTGCATAAAAGTAATATGGTATATCCTATTTAAGTCGTGTGTGCATTCTAAAAAGGAGAAAGGCAGAGATAATGAGAAAGAGGGAAAGGTGGACTGTAAGGAAAGGAGAACAGGAGGTAGGAAAAAAAAAAGAAGTATAAATAAAAATGCCAGTGTAAAGGACACTCCCTTTCATAGCAAAATATGTCCGTCATCAGCAAAAGCAGTGTACACCCAAGAAAGTTTTTAAATTGTCAACAAACCAAATCTGTTCCGGATCATACCTTTTGGATGTGCTCATATCAACAGGCTCATCTCTTGTCTGCACCTCCACCTTGATGGTGGCTTTGACTTCCCCAGACTTCAGGATGCTGGCTGCCACCTTGGCAGCCTGTTCACTCTTCAACTTGACACCTTCAGCTCCAGATCCCACCAGGGCCAGAGCAGCTCCAGGTGCATCTCCTTCAATTTTAACTCTTTTGCTGTCCATGTCCTCGGGTGAACCAGTCAGACCTGAATGGTCCCTCTCCAGAGCCCGTTTTTGGCTGCGTGTTTGACGGACTGCCTCCTCCGACATGGCTGCCCTCAGCCTGAGGAGAAGATACAAACGGTTACAAACTGCTAGACCATGTTTTTTGCTTAAACTGATAAATCACATTTTTTAACATAAACTACACACATATTTCATATGTTATACAGTGATCACAGTGGGTTCATACGTGGCATGTCAGATTTGTGAGAAGTCAAAGAGCTGTTGAAAACTGATTAGGGAGTCAGAACAGACCTATTCATTCTTCCAGTAGAGTTATAACATATATAGCACTGACATGCACACTGGGGTGAACTGATTCGTTCCTTGAAAACAGTGGTCACTTCTATTAAATTATTGCCGCAAAATTTCTAAATATATAGAGGAAGAGAAAAAAAAGCACTTAGCACTGCAACTTTTGTGGTGCTACAGGGAGAGCCTATTTAATAAAAAACATGCATGAGAAGCACTTTAGATAAAATGTAGGGAATTAAAGCTTTATTTAACACTTTTAACTAACAGAATCCTCTTAGGTTGGTTATATAACGTGCATTAACATCATTTTTGCTGTAAAGGACCCCATTTGATCAGGATCAGAGAAATGTGTACCTATCTCTATTCTGCTATGATGTGTTTACTACAGTGAGGCGTTTAATAAGGATCCATTTCAAATCATAATCAAAACCCTCTATTTCCTGAACTATTAATGGAACATTGTAGGACTCTACTACAGACAACAGACATTTCCTTTTGAAAATCGAAATGTTAGCCTGTGCAACTGTAAGACATCAAAACACACCATATTCTCTTTAAAATGCTACTGAAATGCCAAAAGAAAAGTCAATGGATGACAGCAGCAAGGGAAATGTGATCTCTGCTTGTTCATCCTTGGAGATTTAAAAGTAGGAGACCTCATTTTCCTATAATAATAACACGGCCTTCCTTTGGTTGATTCACATATCCGTCTGTAACAACAGCGGGAAAGGAACATTTGCTTAGCAAGAAATAATACATATAATATGCACCAAAAACAACAACACAGGTGTAACAAGCACGTACGTTTAAGAATTTTTCTTATCAATTACATCATGTCAAGCGTATCAGTGACAAGTCCAGCAATGCAATGAACAACTCACTTGACTTGGATCAAGCCAGCTAACAATGGATTAATACAGCCAAATAAAACAAAGAGATAAAATGCTAGTAACTGTTCTTATTTAAGACCCGTGTCTAAAGATTTAATTAATAAAACTGATAGAAATCTTGCTGTCAGCATCACCAAGTAGTGAATATCTTAGCTAAGATGTATGACACAATGTCATTAAAATTAACCTCACTGCTTCATAATCTATTCTATTTCGTATAAACACATCTCTAGAGGTCTTTAGGGAACAAATGCCTCTAAAAGCTGGATTAGCAGTAGGGACCAGCTCAGGTGGTAGCACAGCTACAGAGGCTAGAAAGGATAAAGAGCACATGTGGTTGGTTGAGCCATAGTTTAGCTGTACTAATGTGAAGAAAAAAAAAACTCTTCCTTGTATTTCTGTCTCTCACTTACTCACTTTCTGCCCTTTCCTCCACCTCTCCCTGGTACACACTCTTCCTGGTGTTTTCCTCCCTGTACTCTTGTTGTTCTGGGAATGGCCAGCTGACAAGTGAGACTGTGTGTGCGTGCGCATGAGTGTGTGAGTGCTTGTGCATGCATGAGTGTGTGTGCTCGTGTCTCTAGCGGTTGGATCCTGACTACCAAGGGTTAAGCCCCTGCCATTTTAACGCCACTGACAGATCAGACCATTAGGGTGTTACCTAACAAAATGGAAGCCTTTAACTCTGGATCTGCCAGACTCTTTGTGTGTGTGTGTGTGTGTGTGTGTGTGTGTGTGTGTGTGTGCGCGTGTGCGTCTGCCTGTGGATTGCAGAGTGAGAGACACACAGTAGTTGCAGATGTACGAGCGAATGTCTCCACCTGGGTTATCTCTAAGCAACATGCCAATGACAACATTAGTCAGTCAGGTAAGACTAGGTAAGGCAAAGCTGTAGTTCATGGGCACAAACAAACACATCTTATAATGACTCAAAAATTATGGCTGTATTCTTTGACGTTCAAGTTCGGAGATCAGATGTATAGGTAACTAGAGCTTCTTTTTTTTTTTTTAAATCGACATCAGGAAAGGTAGATAAAATATAAATTAAATAAAAAAATGAATTCATTTTATTATTATTGATACAATAAAAACAGGAGCAGTCAGCTGGCTCCTACACTAGAGATGACTATGAAGCATAGTCTTTTCTAACATTTAATACTGCGATTTTTAACAGCTCACAACATGAAAGAAAATCAACCACACTTTTCAATTCTGCACACAAATAAAAGTTGACTGCAGGCCAAAAGGTCTGTAACACACCCCTAAAGATAGCTTGTTATGCCACCCTCTTTAATCAGAAAATAGGCAACTGATCTATTATTAAACAATGCACTATTCACTTGAATTTTTGACAGATATTCACATAAATGCACATCTATTGAAAAAAGACATTAGCGAAAAACAACCTTTTGGCTCACATAAAAATAGGAAAAAGGTAGAAGGTCTAAACTATCACTTTGAAAGGCTCTAATCTCAAATCACTGACAACATTACTAGTAGCTATAATAAAAAAGCCAAATGTTTAAAACAACCATTGACAGGAATCTCTAATTGCAGTCAGATTGCCTCCAAATGCCAACCTCACAGTTTTGCAGAATAAAATCTTGTACCAAAGAAACAAACAATAGTGCCAGAACACACGCAGCTATCAAATTACATTTCTCAGAAATGGTTGGCACAGGAAGTGACCAGAGCAAAAGGTGTTATGGGAGAAAAAATGTAAGGCTGTAAGTAAGTGTCGAATTTCCTGAAATGATTGGAGAATACTACCAAATTCTTTACACTGGTCACCAGCACAGTATTCTAGTTAGAGCCGGTAGTCAGAAATTTCATAAACTTGATGAAACATTGTGTTAGGGGATCCATCCTTTTTAAGGAACATCAAAGTTCTATCAAGGTTTATCAAATGCTGCTGAGATAATAAATATATCTGACAATAGATGGATATAATGGATCAGACTATGGTTGTTGGAGAGGAAGAAGTCAGGCAAGAAGAGGAGAGGAAGACCCCAGAGAAGATTAGTGAATGACATGAAAGAAGACATGAAGATAGTTGGTGTCAAAGCAGCAGATTGGGTGAGATGGAGGCACATGATCTGCTTTGGCAAAAGAGTTAAAAAAAACAAACAATCACTGCACAATAAGTGCATTTATGTTACTATCTTTCAATTGCCTCCACTTAATCCAGTTGAGGCTGAAGAGAGGTGTATGCCCAAACAGAGCTGAGATTTTACTACTGCTCCAGCTCTAAGGTCAATGTACTTACTGTCATGCCATCAGTTGGCCATCAACTTAAAAACAATAATAAGGTATCAATGGTCAACGATGATCAGGTATCAATGTAAAGCTAGTGTAAAATATGCTTTACTGCTAAGCAGCATGTCTTGTATATTTTAAGCAAAGTTATTCCACTTGCATATTTGTTTAAATATACTTATTTGCATTGTACAGTATTATCGTTAACAGTTTCACTATTACCCAGCAATTATGTTTCAGCTGTTCAAACATTATAGCCAATTAGTTTATCATTTTTAGATGTCCGATTTTCTTTGAGTATTTATTTTTTAATTCACACAATAATTATAATATTCAAAAGGATATATAAGCAATCATTAAATCAAAAATACAACACTAATGTCATGTAAAGTCCACATTTCTGGTCCAAAAACAGCCTTTAGGCTGGTCATTACCAACAGTCCTCTGTTGATAAATAATTTAAACAATGCTTTCTATAAAAACTCTGCAAAGGAGGTTGCTTTATCTTCAGATTCATGAACAGTTTATTCATATTATGTTATTATTAAGTTAATTAAGTTATTATTCAGTGATGAATTATAAGTCAAATTCTGTAAATTGTCAATGATCAAACTAAATTGACAGGAATGTTACAATAACAAAAATAATTATTTTAAGTGTTCTTTCCTTGAATTATAACTCAAAAATAAAAAGGGTGTCAGCGTCAGAAAATGATCAACTATTCTTGTGTTTGGTGCCTAATATTAGTTGTTCAAGTCAATAAGAAGTACAACAGGGTAAACAAGAAATATTTCCATCAAACGCTGGAGGGTTACACTCCCCCAGCTCCAGAATTGCCTGAGGCTTTTGGGTGGGTCCCCGTGACCAGTATGATTACTCCTGTCCTCTGGCATGGAAGACAGAACATTGTTTAAACTGTCACATGAAAGGCCGTTTACAGCAGACAAAACATGTCTAAATAAAAATGTCTGTAATCACAAAACTTTCCAGAAGTTCCAGAAACATCAATAAAAGAGGAAAAACAACAAAAGATATTCTGCAGTGCAAAATGTATCTTTTCATGACAATCAAAAGTTAGAGTTGAATTTTGAATGGCTCCAGGACTACAGATGACACGTTAATAAATTAACTCTGTGGTTTGAAAACGCTACTACTGTGAGTGATGTGTCCATCCTGAAACTTTTTCTGATCACATGACATTTTATCACAACATAAGTTATCATCTGATCAAAACAAAATGTCATATATCTTATTTATATTATTCACTGTACAGAGGGTACAAAATACAGGTGTATTTATCACCTCAGCGGAAAACCTTTCTTTTCAATAAAACCTGATTTTGACCTTGAACATTAGAATCTAATTTTAGTTTTATAAATGAAAATCCATGATATTACAAATAGATAACCTTTGGATGACAACTTGTACTGCGTAGTGGTAATTCTATTGGCAGGCCATCTCTGTTTACTATTCCTTTTAAATAGCGACATAGCAGTTGCCGCCGTGCAAATATCCACAAAGCAGTTGTTAGTTTTACAACTACAAGGCTGCAGAAATGATCCCATTTTAAAGTAGGTTCACTTACAGATGATCTTCTCCTTGCCAGTGGAAACACACCAGCAATTGGCTGCTTAACAAACCTTTTAGATGAAGTGTCCACTAAAGTTTTAATGTTTCAGTGGCCAGTCTCCCCTTGTATGTTCTGTATATTTACTTTGCTAGTGATCATATATAGCAGATTGGGGTTGTTTTATTAAATTTTCTTCTTTTTTTTTCCTGCAGTGAAAATCACAAAATAAGTAAATAAAACAAATAGTTGTTTTCTCCTCCATAAACTCTGTAACAGATTTTTTTTACATCAGTCTCTATAAACTCCAACAAATACTTCTTATACTTGTATACTTACTTATACTTATAATATATAACAAAAAAACAGTAGTGTGAAGAGTGTACCAATGACTTAATGATGGGTGGAACTCAGATGGTGCTCAGGCATAAATTATTTACAATAACTGGACAAAGCTAAAGAGTTTAGCATTTTGAAATAGCACAAGAAAATGTATCAACATCTTGAAAGGTGTAGACATAGTACAGCACGATGTCGGAGCTCCAATTCCTGTCAGACTTCTCAGTCACATCTGAGCATAGTTTTTTATAGGGTTCTTGGACAAACAGACAAAAGGTCAAACACAACATGCTTAGTGACCTGTTACCAAGATTGTCAATTGTCTGTCTGATCAGACTCGTGCTCAGCAGATGTTGACATCCTAACACTTCTGTTCAGCCCTAAACCCTTACAGTATCAAATTCAACATTGTTTTTAAGTGTACACTCCAAAGGACACATCTAATTAGTAACAGCTTGATGTGCATCGTTGCATCTACCTAAACAAATCTCCGAGGGCCAGATATCAGACAAACAATATATCACATGATTAATATCAAAGGAGTGCCCTTAGATGGCTGAGTGAGTTCGACGAATATTATCGAAACACCAGTTACAGACATTACATATATGTATACATGGAAGTAAGACAAATCAAATACATGGGTTTCAGTTTGAAATCATACACGACGATGGTTCAAAAACAAAGAAACCATTTATCTGTTTGGTGATAGACGTGGGTGATAGATACCAATCTAGACACACACTCCGGCGGAGGCACAACCGTCCACCATTACGGCACCATAAAACAGGCTTTACACGGTTGAGCTAATCTGACAAAGTTCTGAGATCAGTGGCTCACAAAGACAGCATAATAACTCTGCACGTTTAAAATGAGAAATGAGCCAGAAATTAAACGTTAGAAATACTGACTGGTGTGGTCACTAACTTTAGTGAACTAACGCTGCCGAGATAATTGCTACATATTATGAACCAAGCCATCAACAACAACAGGCTATCACATGCTAACGTTAACTTGGCTTTGCCAACAACAACCTGTCCATCTGTCCGGGTACAAACACAGTGGCTAACTAAAGCGACTTCACACATAATCGTATTATTCTTTAAACTTTCAACAATCAAGTAATAGCCTCTTGACACTGGGCAGTTTATTAGCGCGTTATGAAGAGTAATATTGAGCTTTGATCTGAGTGTACGTCCAAATAGCGATACAAGACAGACAATGAAACTGAGATCGTTTACATGAGCCCCCAGCGTGCTATGTTAGCCGGCTAACGCTAACTCTCTGGACAGTCGTCTGGTCGAACAGACAGTCGCTGAATTTATTCACAATGACCAAGCTTAAATGGCATACAAAAATAACAATTTCTAAAAACTTAACTCACTGCATCCACAACAAATAAATGTAACTTACAATTTACCAGAACAACATTGCACCCATATAAAACTTGGTTGTTAGTTTTAAAAACAAACGACTTTTTTTCATTTGGTTTGTTTCTAGCAGTTCATGTTTCAGTGGGTCTTAGTGCGACGCAGTGACACACGCGCGCGCACACACACACAAACTGTTACCTTACACATTAGCTCAGATGCTAGTTAGCCTAACTTACGTTAGCCGTGCTAACACCAAAGAGAAACTTTATAGCTTTGTAACAAATTAAATTAAAAATAGAATAAAACACTGCACGAGTGAATATGATGATGGGATACGCAAACTTACAAAGTCTAGGAGGAGCTTAAGCGAGTCCCCGTGATTTTCAGATGTTTGACGCTGGCTACGGTGTAAAAAAATCCCGGGGATCCCCTCTCTTCTGTCCGCTGCCACTCCGGCTGCCAGATAATGTAATGAGCCACCACAGGCGGCGTCATGCTGCGTTCATACACACCTCGGAAATAATAAGTTTACAAATGAAACCAAAACAAAAAAAGTAACAAATATATATATAATATTATAAACACAAGCAGGGCATTAGGCATTGATTTTAATGTTATGTACGACAGTCTATTTTTTATTTTGTATCTTATTCTGCATTGTTTTGAATTTCATCTTTGTTTCCCTTTATGCATACATCTTTTTTTTAACAAAGATGTGTGTTCAAAAACAAAGATGTAATGACGTGGTAAATAATCTTAAATAAGTTAAAATAAGGAGGTTTAAAGTTATATGCAGGTAATAGCTTAAGTCATTTATCAAGGTCACCACTGTTACAGGAATGAAACCCAACATATTTGTTTTATTTGTAATTTTACTAATCCACACAATAAGTCACAAAATAACTTATTAAATGCTTTTGTGTACATGTTGGGAATGTATCCGTCTTCCTCATGGCCAGTGGTCTATCATGAGAAGGTAAACTAAAGCAGCAACAGGAGAGTTCCTCTTAAGTAAACATGACAGTTGTTCTGATACTTTGGCTAAAGATTGTATCACTTGCCTGCAGGCACATAGGAAAACAGGATATGAATAACATGTCTTGTTACACATCCATGTACGACAAAAAGCTAACATAAAACTAATCCAGTATGTAGTCACTATAGCTTTTTTCTAAATTTAGTGGATGTTAGGTTAAATCCTTGATAATTCAATAAAATAATTGATAACCACCTGATGTCAAATTGGGCTGTTAACATTTGAAATATTCAATAACTCTAAGCTAATGTTAAAATTGGACATGTTTTTAGTAATCACCAACTATTTCTAATTTCCTTTAATAACTGAATATCCCTTAGACTCTTGTATTCATTTATTTAATGCACACAAGCTAAGTGCTGATTTCACAAACTTACTCCTAAGTGACAACAAAAAGGCCAGGGAGATCCGTTCATTACAAAATCAATCAAAGTTTATTTGGAAAGAAAAATAGTGAACAATGTAAGCATTAAAAACATAGGCATTGGATAAAATGTGGCAAGTATTCAAAGCCCTCTGTGTCCTCACAGTGTGCCTTAAATACCAAGCATTTAGACTTCTACACAGAAAAGCTAAAAAATACATCCTCACAATCTCCTAAACCAACGCCAAACGTTGATGCTGATGCTGTACAATAAACGTTTAACAAGTGGTGAATCTTTACATACGGTACAGAAATGATTTAGTGTAACTAATTGGGACAGACTTGAAAAAATAAAAATAAATTCATTTTGAATATTTGAAGATTAACCATTAACCAAAATTTTAAGAATGGTTTTATAAAATTAACACATCAAAAGGCATTTTATACATATAATGGAACTTCAAAAAATACAGTAGTTAAATGTGTATTTTTTAATGTATAAGGTATTCCTAATATCAACCAAATAATATAAAACCCTGATGTTAAATACTGTTAATTTACAAACCCATCACTGGTACTGTCTGGCCTAGGAGAGGAACTGCACAGAGCTGATTATGTGCTGTCCGAAAACGATGCAAACGGCTAAATGTTTAGCTGATTTCCGGTGCTTAGAAAATATACCACGGGACACCTCCATTTTATAACATTTTGTACAAAAATTACCTACCAAGATTTTCTTGTTAGAAACCCTGCTCAGAAATAGTGTACATGGGTCCTCTTCAGTAACACCTATGCATGAAAAGAGAAACAACATCCATACAAAAAGGCAAGATGTAAAATATTTACCAACAGTTATAAAAATATCAACATGAATAAATTATTTTTTTCTACATTTCTTTACTGCCGTGCCTAGCTATCATCATATTTCCAGTATGTGAAAAAGGAAATCTAAAATGTAGCGAAGGCCACTCCACAACATCAGATGGAAAGAAGCCCCTTCTCATGTCACTGCTTGTCATTCGCTACTTTAATCAAGAAGAAAACAGACCTGCAGTTAAAAAAAAAAAAAAAACAATAAAAAAATATCCAAGTCATTAGAGGTTAAATACATTGGTTTTACAGTTTCAAATGTCAAGTGAAATAATTAAACCTTAAAATCTGATCATATTTTACACATTAGATTTTTTTTTTCTTGCGATAATGTACCAGCTACTGGGATGCTTTCTAGAAAGTTCTCATAGCAGGCTTGCGAGGCTGGTGGTGGGGCCATTCTGAGCTTGGATCTGGACAGGAGGAGGGCCATCAGTCCACTGGAAAACAAAAGAAGTGTCATTTCAGCACTAAAGTGCACAGAGAGCTAATGTCTAAAACGTGTTTGTCTGATGAACGTACACTAATGAGGTTATGCTCAGGGAGGCTGCAAGCAGCAATGTGGTCCTGTAGCAACTGCTGGGAGAAGTTTTGGTGCATCTGGGCTGCTTCGTGGGCATCTATATTGTTCCCGAGGGCCTTGTTCAGATCTGCAAAACAAAAAAACAAAACAACAACACATTGTCAAACTCTGCACTCTGTGTTTTCAAGCAACAGTAACCAACTTGTTCTTAAGATGCAAAATTTAAAATAGAAGCTTTTTTTATCAGACGTGTCTGCGTCTACATAAAACAAGGCTCCTTTCTCAAAGATTAGGAAAATAGATAATACATGTTGACTTGTAGGGGAAACATGAGCAGAAACCAAGTGTGATTGGTCGCTGGATGGTCTAATAGGAGCCTGGACACGTAGCATTGGGAGTGTGTAACTTGATATGAAGTGACTCAGACTGCCTTAATCAGGAACAGGAAGTTCAAGAGCAATGCTGAAGTCATGTACTTGAAATATGCAATATGTCTTATATCTGCTTTTATCATACTCTGTGTCCTGTCATGCTACGATGACAGGACACTTCTCAAAAGTTGCCTAATGTGATTTGTCAGTGAGTTGTATTCAAATATTACAGCATAAGTACAGACAGACAGGCAAAACAACTGCATAACAGTTTAGATCAGAGGTCTTCCTCTAGGGGTGCTGGTGAGCTACTGCAGAGAAAAACATTTTTCAAAAATTACTCAGTACTCACTGTGACTGAGGTTAACTCCTCAGTCACAAATTTCAAAATAATGTGCTTGGCGACTGGAATGAGTTTCTAAATGAAAATGGGTTACTGTGGAGCTAACTGTACGGCAAACAAAGCTTGTGCAATTATTGTGCATAATCTGTGTTTACCCACTGAGCAGTTTAACCCAAACAAGCATTAAACTAACGTAAGTTGTCCAGATGTTAGTTGTAAAACTAATTACTCTTCAGGGTTAGCTCGCAGCAGGTTGTTAACATAGCATTACACAACCTGAAACAGCTCAGCTAATGCTACGCCTAAAAAAACAAAACAAACAAAAACGCTGTTGTTCTGTTGTTTGCATCCTGGGACTCGGCATGTTTGCCTGGATGACAGTGTTGTAACTGTCAGATTAGGTTTGTCTGTCTGAATGTCCTTGTTGTGGCTGCAGGTACACTTACTGTCATATACATTACAAATAACAAGCGTACAGCTTTCTTGGCTGAATGTAAAGAACTTCTAAGCTAACAACAAGTGGGCTACAGTTTGTGAGTGATGTTGCTATCGCCTGAAATCATCTGAAAATACAGCATGTGAGCTGACCAGTCAGGCTGAAAAACCGGTTTATCCTGATCACTGACCGGTCGATCGGTACATCTCTAACACACACGTCTGTTAATAACTTGTACAGCTCAGCATTGAAAAAAAAAAAAGACAGACCTTTCAACAGTGCTGAAGACCAGAGTTGAACAGACATGTCAGGGATCTTGCTGGCCAGTTGCATGGCAGGCACAACCATGTTGTTGCTTTCCTTTAACAGAGAACACAGAAGCATCACATAAATTTTACATAGAGTTTGTTCAGTGTGACTCGTTCACTTCTGATGCGACAGACTTTACATTACTAGAATTTTATTTTTAGATTTTTAACATTATGAGAAAATTTGTTTTTGATGACAGAAAACAATGTCGGTGCACAAAAATATATCAGTTTCAAGTATGCAGGTGCCACGGAGGTCTAAAGTCACTGCTGTGTGACATTTGATCTTACTCTGTGGTTTCCAAGTACATAGAAGATGTGGCCTAGTAAAACCAGAGAGCAGGCAGTCAGTCTGTTCAGATCCTCAGCATTTGACATCTTCAGTGTTTCCCTTAGAAAACGTCTGTAACAAAAGATAAGACAGATGAATGTCAACACTCAGTGGACCTTTAACTGGGGTTTGCACAAATAGACTTAGAATTTTGTCTTACTTGGCTTCATTGTAGCGCCCCTGGAAGAAAGACAAGAGACCCCTGATGTAGAAGGCTGCAGCACGTAGGCAGTGGGAGCTGAGTAAAAAGCACAAATATTATGTGTTGAAGTTCCAAAACATAAACATGTTCAGGTTGGTGTGAACCATGAGCTGCTTACCTGACTGGGAAATTATGGTCTGGGTTTATTCTCTCTAACAGACTGTACAGCTAGAAAACAGGAAAAATACAATGATGTTTAAAAACAATTGTAAATAAAACAAGTTTTCCTTATGGCATAAAACACATAGGGATGTTTTCTGTGCAGAGTAAAAATGGTATTCAAAGTGTTGTGGCTGCCCTCTGGTGGACAAATTACGTAACAGTAACATGGGGCGACAACTGACATTATAGTTTACAGCCTGCTCTACGCCATGGGTGCACAACAAGTGGATCGCAATCTAGCAGTAAATCGAGTGCTGGTAGATCATAAAAATTTAAGACAAGGAAAATTAAAATATAATTCTGTAGTGTATAGTAGTGACCATATACTGTAAGAACGGAACTATATTGTGCCATATGCCAGCTAGAGGAATTTAATAAATACCCAAACATATAATGCATATATACTCATAAAGTATGTTCAGTTGACACGAGTACATATAAATTTCACATATTCAATGTAGGTAGATCACGCTGGCCAGGTCAGTTGAATAGTAGCACACGAGGTAAAAAAGGGCAGACACCCCTGTCCTACGCAATGAATACACAACTTCCTAATATTTCTCAACAAACCTCTTGGTGTCTGTTTCCTTCCCTTATGTAGACACTGGCCAGGTTGGTGACGATGTATGTCCACAATTCCTGATGTGTGGTGAGCTGAACACAAAAACAGATTGAATGTAAACACAAGCGTAAAACTTGGAAGGACTTTCTGAGAACCAGCCAAAACCACCATATACTCACCCGTAAGGCTGTGGTAAACTGGGCCTCTGCGTTATCCATACAGTTCACTGAGATACAGTACAAACCCTGGGAGATAAAGAGAAGTCAAACACAGTTTTAAAATGTTCATTTAGTGAGGTTTTCATCACTTGTACAACAGATTTACAAAGTTATTACCTACTAAAGTTAATTCTCTTTTTAAAATGTATGCAATTGACATGTCAGTTCAGACCAAATTGAATTCAATAAAAGTAGATTATCATTATTTCGAAAACAGACATGTTTTTTAAATAATAATAATCCACGTGAAACAGTGGCTTTACAGGTAATTGAGTATAAAGGAGAGGGTTGGATGAAAAACACTCACTAAAAGCGTATGGAGCTGAGCGGCATGGTTGGTGAATAACCTGGGGGACTGTTGGCACAGCTGACAGACCTGTGAAATCTGTATGGATAAAAACTCAAGAGCTCATTTTCACACACAAACTCATTCACTCAACTGTATTGCTTTTCTGAGTGGTTCTGATTTCTGTTACACTGACGTCTTTTTGCACATTATCTGAAGATGAATACTTGTCAATGTTCTACAGAAAAAAGATTAATATACCTCCTGTAATGCAGTGGCCTTGTGGCCCGTGACAAGGCGGCACATGATGATGTGCTCCAGTAAGATGACTTGAAATGTAGAGAGGATGGGGCTGCAGTCCAACACTAAATTGTACAACAAAAAAGACAAAGTAAAAAACAGATGTACTTGAATGCTTAAAAAGTTAGTTCCTCTTTTTTTTTTCACTGACAAACACTGAGATTTAGACTTTTAAAATCACAGGAAATGTGGTTGCTCACTTTTAAGCTTCTCAAGTTGCATAAGAGCCTTATCTGTGTACTTTTGGGCTTTTTCCAGGTAGCCTGCCTGCATGGAGTGCATGACTGTCACCTGTAAAACAGCAATAATGAGTAAATCAACTATGCAATACCCAAGTAGGTACAAGTTAACAAAAACAAGTGTCTGGGTGTGGTGAACAACTTTTGACTTGAAGTGAAAAGCAGGTCTTTACGTGTATATAACTACCAGTCAGAACCATATAAATAAAAGACATCCATTTTTAACAGCACTGCTAATTACAGTCTATTTACAGCAGATTATGTGGTCAGCTGCTGTGATATCACTTTTTTCCATGTTTCCTAATGAACTAAGTACATATAAGTAAATGGTTAGTAAATTCGTACATGTATATTAAGATATGCACATAAAAGTATAGCAGTGATCATCATCTGCCAGCATGTGGGCCAAATCTGGCCAATTTCACCTGTTACTGGATTTAAAAGGTGAGGATCAAAGAGAAAAAATGCATTTTTATTTCATTTTATTTGTGTGTCCAGTTCCCAAGGTGTCTGTCCAAAAAACTTCAGCCCTCCAACAATTATAGTTAGTGACCCCTGCTGTATAGACAGTAAGATATTTAAAATGTAAATAGAACTACCACATTTGTAGTTAGGACACTATCACGTGTTGTGTTCGTTGTGACCTATATTAGGAACGTTTATTACTGGCAGTGCACTTTGCCACATGCAGACACTGTTCCGTTCTTGTTATGGTCAATAAAATGCCTTGTCACGTCCGACTGTACACGAGACCAGAGCAAAATCTTCTTTCATGTTGGAGACTTTGTACCCTTTACTGCGCAGTGGATGTTCTTTGTCCAGCGGCTCTTTTTTTTTATTTTCCCACAACCATGAGTAAAGGAAAAACAGTAATCAATAACCCAATGTAGTACCTGAAGAAAGAAGATACTCACCAAGTAGACAAGGACACACATGTGTTCCTTGGGCAGCCAGTGGAAAAGGTCAGCTGGGTTGGTGGGAAGAATTTCATCATCGTGGAGTGTGGAGATGGTCTGGATGCACTGCTGCAGCTGCTTCAAACATGGCTTCACACTTTTTACCTAGGGTTATATGAAAAAACAAATGTAATATGTGAAAGTAAATCCCTACAGTTTTTAAGAAAGCGTGCATAACAATGTTTAAAGAATGTCCATCTAATTTTTTTCAAATGATTCCGTGCTTGATTTCCTACCTGTCCAGCATCCAGGTAGTGTGTGACCTGTAGAACCAGGAAGAAAACCCTGAGAGACTCCTTTTGGATCGGGTTGCCCTGCCAGTTTTCCACAATAGTTCCACACAGTGTGAGAAGAGGATGCACCTCCCCGAGTTTCCTTTCCATCAGCAGCAACTAAAAGAAAACAAACAAAAAAAACACTTCCATTTATTACTGTTTCTCTTCTTATCACTTAGGTTATTGCCACCAACTTTGCAAGTATCTCTTTTTATTTTAAAGAATTCACGACATAACACAATAGGAATTTAAAAGAGGACTCACCATTCCTTTACTCAGGAGAAACAGTGCCCTAAAAAAGCAAGAAAAAATTAGGTTTTAAATTAGGCTTAAAATCCTCACATTCACCTCATTTCAATTAATACAACACAAACTAAACTAATAAAAATATTTAATTTTGAATGTTATGCTTCAAACAACACCCTAATACAGAACACATACACAACATTTTTTACATACACACATATCAATATCAATAAAAATGAATTTAAAAAATAGAGGACATGTCTTTAACTAAAAAGGAGCACCCAACTTTTCTTTGTACTTCTTTGGTTTGAGAGTAAAAACCAGTGCCCTACAGTGTAAGCAGTTTGACTGTCTTTATACAACCTTTACCTGGTATATTCTGAGCCCACCACTCGAGCGTACTCTGCTCCAACTCCCAGAAGGTCACACGCCGACACCAAGTCCTTCTCCAGTGTATGGAGTTGCTAAGGGAGCAATAAAAACAAATCATCAATTGGGGTTAATTCAACTTAAGGTCTACATACAATCAAAATCTAACAGCACAGTATGAGATGATAATAATCTTAGGGTAGAAACAGGATTATGCTTCAACAAATGCTGAATAAACACATTCTCACTAGTCAGTACAACCAAGAGTCTATAGGTTTTAGGATTTAAGTTTATCCAAATCACATGAACTTGCCTACATAAAGTTGTGATGCTTTTAGTAAGCCAAAAATATTTTACATTTTTCTTAGTTATTGCATAATCAACTGAATAACTCTTGATAAACCTGCAGTTCCAATAAACCCCAGTAATGTACATGCTTTGTTTATTCAGATTCAGGAGTTATTTAAATGTAGTTAGTTGCAAAATACACTTTTCACGATCACAGAGTAGTAACTGATATATTTTATCTGTGTAAACATGTCAGGGGATACAATGATGTTCACACGTACCGCCAGCTGGAACAACAGTCTGCAGTGCCAGTATGGTGTTTGTTGTGAAATCTGAATGGCTTTACGCAGGAGAGGTTTTGCAGAGTCAACCAAGTTCTGAAAAATGAATAATCAGATCTACATCAGATATTACCGTGTATTCTTTCTGTACAGCATTAGAAGTAACAAGTCGTGTCTACTTCTTCGGCACAACGATGCTTTAATTACACTGAGCCAAGCTAACAATAACAGACAGAAAATAATATATCTCCATTCATTTGCAAGCCTTACCTGTTGGCAGAACAGTTCGGATAAAATACTGGCAGCTTCAAATTTAACATCTTCAAACTGAGAGAGCTGCTGCGAAATATACCACTGCAAAGGGAAAGATATGTACAATGTTAGCGGTGTTTGGAGTATTTGTATACGATAAGTAATCCTTTAAAGAATCCTGGCTAACAGTGGTGAATGAAGAAGACGACACAATTGGGTTGATACTGAATTATATGCGCATCGTATTAACTTCATTTAAAAATAAACCTCTCCACACGAACAAATACTTAAGAGTTTCCACTGTTGCTGGTTTTCCGCTACGAGCGGCCTAACACCGTTCCCTTTTCCACTGCATCCCCGCTCTTTCCTACACACAGTGCCCCTCACCGCTTTCTCAAGGTGGCTGCGGGCCAGCTCGCTGTTCTTCGTGTGGTGGTAGAGAACCGAGCCGAGCTGTAGATGTGTCCGGGCCTCTATCTTCTGTGGAGGCTTAAATTGAAACACTGCCTGTAGGCAGTGCACACAGAGTCGTATTTTAGGCGGACTAGAGGTTCGGAAATGCTCTGCAAAACCGAGCAGGGCGAGATACCAGCGATCCGGGGCCTCAACGTTAGACGCCATTTTCTCCCACAACAACAACTTTTCAGCGGTAGAGCTAGATTCACGGGTTGCCAAATCAGGTTACCTAGAACCCCCCTGACATCAATCCCCAAAGCGTCTGAAACTGCAAATGATTACAATTTATTTGAATTAATCCCAAATGTGTATAAAATTAAGTATATATGATTTATTTATGTATGTATCTTTTTAACACAAAACTCACAGCGAAACACTTAAAGAAAAATATTGACGTAGCTGTCTTGTTGCAATTTGTGGTTCCAAACTCCAGTGCTCCAATACCATTGTCATGGTAACTTAACAGTAGCATCTTTTTTAAAAACTCTTTTGGGCTCAATAGTCAGTTTCAATATGTTCTCAAAACAATAGACTCTCTTTAAATCCGCATCCATTTTAAGGAAAAAATATTTGAAAAACGGTCATGGATAACAAATACGACTGGGGCTATGCAGGTGACAACTAGGAGAGTTGTGACACATGTGTACATTTTTATGTGTAATAAATATATTTGTGTTTTCCGTACCGGGGGTTATTTCCTAGTAATGCAGAATGCATCATATTTGATTGAAAGATGCTAAAGTCTAAAGAACTAACATGGCAACCAAGGGTAGTACATAATCTCGCGAGATTTTGGTAAATACCGAAAATAACTAGTGGGGATTGTAGTCCAAAACACTGATTTGACCGTTCTAGTTTTTTAACATCTAGTCTAGAAAATACCAGAAACAGTTCCTTGTGCAGAAGACACGGAAATACGACCCAGCTTTTCATCTGAGGTCCTGTTTCTATATACGCAACCCGCGACTCTGCAGCTTATCACTTGTCTTTCGCAATCGTCTCTGAAAACGTTTGCTACGTGAAAAGACGACGCAGCTGAGGCTGTGGTGAGTTATAAAAGGAACAGACCAGCCCCCAGCGTGCAAAACAATGTGTGCAAGACTTTGCAGGGCAGACTGACTTCTTCAACACAGCTACATTCAATAACAACGTGGGATTTTTCAGTCATATAAGGTAAATATATTAGTGCGACAGCTATCAACTACTGTTAGGCGACAGCGCGATATGATGCACTTGAAATGTATTCAAGATTGTTTGTATAACTCTTGATTCGCATTTTATTCATATGAGGTGTGGCCATCAAGTTATTTGTGTAAAACCTTTTAGGATATTGGCGATTAATGATGGTATTTTTAACAGCGGGTCTTTTTTATCCTGTAAGTGTGGATTGGTCTGTTTTAATGCAGTGCCCTGTTTACAAGCTGCGTGTTTGTGTTGGATATGAACGTGCACGTAATCACGCACTTGTGTTATGATACAGTCGGATGCAGCGTGATATGGCGTACTGTTATTCTCAACTGGAAAGGGAACTTAGGCAAACTGTCATTTGCCTACATACATTTATTGATGTCATTTTTATCCGCAGTGTTTCATCTGAATGAGTGAGTAACTCGGCGTCTGACATTTGTTTTTGAGATCTGTGAAGGACGCACATAAACACACGCATGGCCCACCATGCGCACGACCGTCAGAGCCGCCTGCCTGTGGCCCAGGCCGCGGTGCTGGCTCTGTCGCCGACCCCCAGCCAAGCACAGGTGAGTGCAGTTTCCCCAATGACTTAAATTAGAGGTTAAATCTAATCACGGCATAGATATTGGGAGAATAGAACGAAGTCAGCGTTTAATCTCTTAAAACTAAACTAACCAAATTAGCATTGGTGATTTATTCTCTTATATCTTTATGTATTCCACATCAATAAATTAGTTTTTTTTTAATTGAATAAGTTATCATATACCATAGTTGCTGGTTGTCCAAATACAGATTACAGTTGCAATTAACGGTATTTATCGAGGCGATTTTATGTTTTCTATACAGTTTTCATACAGTACATTAGTCCATACATTGAAAGAAATATCTTTCAGTATTTAGGGAATTATGTTAAAAAATGTGTACAAATGTTTGTCTTGTATTTAACATTTCCAGTAGTCTGTGTCCTGTGAGGCTCAGCTAAGTGTGCCTGCTAACCGGCACCCTACATTTTAGATAATCTCATTTAGTTTAGTTACATGGAATTTGGGACATGAGGACAAAATAGTTCTTTAATCTCTTAAGCTGAACTGAAATTGTCAATAGAATTGAGGTTTGTCCTCTTAATGCACATTTAGTATTAATGGTAGAAATGGAATAAAAAAATATATTTTTCAACAATGTTACCTGAAGAATACACAAAATAAATATATAAACATATACAATTTTAGCGGCGTGTATATATAATTACATAGGCTACAGTTTTGCCACAATACTTCAACTATTATGTCTAAACATGTGTAGCAATGTCTAGTTTTCATCTACAGTTTTGCCACAATACTTCAACTATTAAGTCTAGTTTTCATCTATTTTTTTTATATAATACAATTTAATTATTAATTATATAACTTTATATAATATAATATTTGTTTGTTGCAGTTGTGGTGTTCTCAGAACCACTTTTTGAACAGTTACATTTCACATGTGTTTCCCATTGCAGAATAAATTGTTGAACATTTGATGGTATCTTGTATCTCTAAAGTATTCAGTCCTACTTTATAGGACCATGTTGTTGTTGTTGTTGTTGTGTTCATCATGCAGTAAAGCCTTCCTGGTACTGTACTATACAGTACATACTTTGAAGGACATGCCTCTCCCAGCTTGTAGCTGTAAATAGCAGGGAGGTGGCCGCTAATCTAAAGCTGGCCTTAGTTCACACAGCAAATGGGAGAGGTAGGGTTGAACCTGAACAATCCTTTTTTTTCCCACATATAATATTACTTCTAGGTATAATACAGTCTGCCCTCTATGGCTACAGTAAGGCAGTGCATGTCTACATTAGCTGGAAAGAAATGAAACAAAAAACAATTTAAACAAAAAGTAATAAGGGTAACTTATCTTATCTCAGCTTATCTTAAGACACTGCACTGTTAAAGTTCAACTCACCTACAACACTCAGGTTGTAAATTTCAGGTAGATTATTAAACCAGTCATAGCTCACCGAATGAAAACAAATGGAATTAGAGTCGGTGTTGTGCTTTGTTTTGAGGTGAGGAAAGTTTGTGGCAGATGTTTGTAATTTGATTAGCACTCCCCACCCCTGTAATTAACCATGAATCACACAGAATTGCCCCACATATTGTCTTGTCACGGTACAAAATGTCCGCGACCGTAACATCAATGTTTGTTTGTGCACAAACAGGACATACGGCCCAAGTCTAGCGCTCTGGAGTCCCTGCTGTGTGGTGCGTTTGCTGGAGCTGTAGCTAAAACGGTCATTGCTCCTCTGGACCGGACCAAGATCATCTTCCAAGGCAAGAATACTGATCCAATAATATGATGACACGCAATAAAGACAAGTGTTGTGAGCCAAAGTTTTCCCGTGACTGTGCACTAATGTTGAGTCTGCCTGGTGTTAACCCTGAGAGTCATTGTTTACTTTTTTTGTTTTTACAGTGACACCATTGAGATTCTCCGCCAAAGTAAGTTCACAGTCTTTTAACAATTATCACACTTGCGTAACTTAAAAATCAAACAGTTCACATTTTTGTTATTCTGTTGTTTCTATTTATTTAATCAGGATTAAGTTTGAGTTTTTAATTGTATTTAATTAAACCCTAAACACTATTCTGGTTCTGTGTACCTGCCCCTCTACCCAGGAGGCCTTCAGGCAGATCTACTGTACTTACATGAAAGATGGACTGATCAGCCTGTGGAGGGGGAACTCTGCTACCATGGTCCGGGTCATGCCCTATGCTGCAATCCAGTTCTTCTCCCACGAACAGTACAAAAAAGTGCTGGGAAGCCACTATGGCTACCAAGGAAAGTGAGTGTCCAATCATCTTTCATGTCCTTAAATCAGGGGGGTCTCTGGGGGCCACTGTTACCTCTGCCGTGTCATTGAAGGGCCAAGAAGAGCAGGGGTTAGATTAAACTGACATCTAATTATGTGCAGCATGAGGGTGGTTTGTGGGCCGTTTTTAGTCTGCAAGCCAGGAGTTTAACACCCCTGACTTGAACAGCAATGTCTTGTCTTACTTTTTTTTCCTATTTGTCAACAAATAAGAACAACTCTGTAAATGCCAGCTGAGTGTTTGTTGGGAATTTAAAAATTCCATAAGACATGGTCCGTGGAGGCTGATTGGCTGATTGACTGAGATTTTGTCTGATTATTGGTAGAGGAAAACTCATCAAGTTATTCTATACAATACTGTTGTGTCTCTAGTTGATCAAGTCCTTCAGTGTTGGTAAACTTGGCATTGGTAAATAGATTATTCTACTTGGTGTGGCCGGGCCAGTAAATATAACATTTGACATGGTCTCCACTCGGAACAAATCAAAACCAGCTGCAAAAACATGTTGTTATTAGAAGTCCACATTGTGTATTTGTTTCATAGTTTAACAATGCTCTGTTTGTTTGGGTTTTTTTTCCCCCCAGAGCTCTGCCTCCTCTTCCACGTTTCCTGGCTGGCTCTCTGGCTGGCACATCTGCAGCAATGCTGACCTACCCTCTGGATCTGGTACGAGCCAGGATGGCTGTTACTGCCAGAGACATGTAAGCTGTTGTCTGCTGACGCATTCATTTGAACAAACAAAGTCTTTGTATGTGTTGTACGACCAAATTATATACCTTAGATTACTGTAGTCAGTAGTTATTCAGAGTTTTTGTTTCCTCAAAATAAGACTGTTTATTATATTATTATTTAGTGTCTTTTCTGGTTAAAAAAATATTATTATTAATTGTAAGTAATTATAAGTGCAGTGTTTTTCAACCTTGGGGTATGGACAAATTGGGTTTCCTGAAACTATTTAATTTTTTTTTAAAAACACCACATTAAACTTGGTGATGTCACAATGAGGTTAAAAACCACAAACGGTGAGAAACGACTGTCCTCAAACTAAATTATGACATACTTTTGTTTAGATTTTAATTTAGGGCAGTTTAGTGATTGTTTTCTAAGATTTTCTACATGGTCACATTTGGCAATTTTTTTTTTTTTTTTTTTTTCTCCTACAGGTACAGCAACATCATCCACGTGTTCTCACGCATTTCAAAGGAAGAAGGTGTGAAGACGCTTTACAGAGGTTTCACTCCTGCTATTTTAGGTGTCATCCCATACGCAGGAATCACTTTCTTCACATATGAGACGCTGAAAAAGTTACACACAGGTAACTCACATGGTGATGTATGTTCGTTATCGTTTGAACTCAAGTACAATTTGCCATATATTTCACCGGATTCTGTTTCTTCGTCCCTGATAGAAAAGACAAAGAGATCACATCCGTATCCTCATGAGCGTCTGGCTTTTGGTGCGTGCGCGGGTCTGATTGGACAGTCCGCTTCGTATCCTCTGGACGTGGTGCGCAGGAGAATGCAGACGGCTGGCGTGACCGGCTCGTCTTACAGCACAATCCTGGGCACCATGAGGGTGATTGTAACCCAGGAAGGAGTTATCAAAGGACTGTACAAAGGACTGAGCATGAACTGGGTTAAAGGCCCTATTGCCGTTGGGTTTAGTTTCACCACATTTGATATCGCCCAAAGCTTTCTGCTCAAGTTGCATCACATGGGCGATCTCACCCACTAGAGGAGCCGTGCGGAGCAGCAGAGCAGAGAGAAATGGCAAAGATGAAACCGCCAAGACGGAGTGGTGAGGTCTGGCACACGGCAAGAGTGAGTGTCTGCACTTGTTAAAAGGGGGCGTCCTGTTTACTTCAGGAACCAGCTGGAAGGAGAGGACTGCTTGAGACGCGGGGAGGACATTTGTCAGACTCTTAAAATATGACCACAGTCATGGGGTCTTACAATGCTCCATTATATGGTCACTACTTGCTTTCATATAACGGCTCCCGTCATGGGGGCCTCATGATGTAACGCAGCTGGATATTCAGTTGTTGGTGATGAGAAGATGAGGAGTTGCTGCTGATTTATTACAGTCCATGATTATTTAATGGACCTACACTGTTGTTTTGTTCTAATCCTTAATCAACAGAGACTAACTTTCAATCAGCAGTATTATTTTTTTGTCACTTTTTAAAAAAAATTTTTTTTTTTGAATTTTTGATCTGTATGCTTGTGCCTATGTGAACATAGAGAATGAGTGACTGTGAGGGTGATCATGTCAGCAGGACTGCACGGCATCATTGTCTGCTGCGCAGCACTGAGCTAATGATGAGAGTAATGTCTAAAGAGTGGAGGGTTATCAACTATCATAAATATATCTGTTGTTTGTAGATACCAAATTAATTTTTATACAGAGTTTTTATTGCTGTGCATTTTTGTCATGGCTTAAATGTATTGTTGGGGCACAGTTAATCTAAAACGTCTGAACTTACTGAAGCACTTAATTCAATATTACAGTATTAAAACAATAAACTCCATGTCAGTTCAAGAACATGTTAGAAATGTCGAATATCTCAAACATGCACGTTTACATTTCTGTCCTGCATAACTGATCAAATGCAATAAAAGTGTCCATCCACAACACTGAGCAGTGACTCCTTTTGTCCACTTGAGGGGGCCATCGTATAAACAAGGCGTAAAAAGCACACGCTTGTGATTAAAATGGTTTTCAAATAATTAGTAATCTGTCTTACAACCAAGTACAAGTTGAGTGTTCGTGTACAACATCTTAAAAAAATCTACTAAATATGGTACTCCAATTTTCTCCTTCCGTTTTAAACCCTAAAGATCTCTTGTCTTTGACTTTTTGATGACTTTGAAAAGGATTAAGTGGAGCAGATATTTCTGTTTCTGGTCTAGAAGGTTTACTAACCGAACCTGAAATCTTGTTGATCTGTGGAAACAGTAAGAAGATTCAAATTGGTTTAATAAACCAAATAATTCTCAAACCAGTAGCAGTACCTCCAGGACCCTTTTGGGGGCCCCGCAGTCCTTTTGAAGACTAGTGTTACAGAATGTATGGACGCCCCAGTGATAGTTCGTTAGATTAAAGAAACCGTTTAGACAAACCAGAAATGGATAATTAAATTATTATTATTTTGGAGAAAGTAATACCTCTCACTGAATCTTTCTGTCCACCTTATCCTTACAGTGTTTAAATCACCAACTCTTTTTTTACGCTAGATGGCAGCATTGAGTAGCCGTACGTTTGTGTGTGCTAATGATTTTTAGAGGTTAGTTAGGTTCTGATCTCCCCCTGGCCTGAACTTGACCTGTCCTCTGCTCTCCCACTCAGATCTCACATGTTTCTGTACATTTCTTTTTATACACAGAACATTTTGTGGATAAATAATTAAAAAATACATCATAAACAAATATAAATATAATATAAAGAAATATAAAAATGTTACCATGGATTTTTACAGAAATAATGATTGACAGAATAACAGTGGCAGTAAAGTAGGGATATGAGGTTTTTTAAAATATAAAATACTTTATAATACATTGACCAGGGATGAGAAATTAAACATCTGAATGTTGTAGTACACAACATCTGTAACATTCCATTAACATCACACAATGTTTTCATGTATTTCACTTGTCATTAATGAGATTCCCCATTACAGTATATACAGCATGTCAATTAAAAATGTCTATATTATATATAACAATATAATATTATTATATTATATTTAAATTTGAAACTTCAGCGTTTTCACGTCGTAAAATACTGCAGACCTACTGTACTACTGTGTGAACTGTATTTCAGGCTGCATTATAAGGTGGTCACATTCCCTCGATCTCTTTTTGTTGTGGATCACATGCATGTCATCATGCCTAAATCATAGGGTTGTGCCCTTTACCCATCTACCCACTCTGCCATCTCCCCTATATGACCTTGACTGTAGATATGGGATGCTGGTATTTCAACAAATGATACAATAAAACAGGGTGGATAACATGGTTGGAGGGCGGGTGACCGAGAGAAGGTGGAGGAGGAGGAGAACAGGGAGGAGGAGAAGGTGGGTTGAGACGACGCTTCTTAAAGGTGCCGTTGCCATAAGTAACCTGGATGTGTGCCAGGAGAGGCATCTGCATGTATTCAAATCACACATGAATAATTCACTCTGAAGCCCCCGCTGAAGCCACGGCACACACACACACACACACACACACACACACACGGTCCTGTATATAGACAAAAATGCATAACCTATCCATGCATGCAAAGCAGGTTAAACAGGAATAAATCCTTTTTTTTTTCGCAGTACATTATAATGAAAGGAAATCCACTGGAGGGAGGGGTGGAGTCTGGAATGTTCTCTGCAAATAATCTCTGCAAATATTTTTACAGCATCAAAAAAGAAATTCCTTCTTTGTGCCGTTACTGGATCGGACGGTCTGAACAGAGAGGTCAGCTGATGACGCAAACCAAGGCAGAAGAGCTGAGAAGGGAAATATATGGCAACCGTACATACTGACACACATGGTCACACACACGACCATCAGCTAAATACAGGAAGAGAAGGTGAGGAGATTGAAGGAGTGCCATCTTGGTGTCATCTATAAAACTGAGTGGAGACCAGTTATTCCACCACCTGTTTAATATTCATAAACACTGCAGGGACGTCATCATCTCCTGCTGCCACCTCACAAACTCCCCCTCCTCCACGGCGCTGAGGCGTGTTAATTTTATAAGATCCAGTGTATTAGCACTTATGGTCGGAGAGTGTTGTAAAAGCTGTGGGGTCAGTGCATTACTGAGCTGCTGGGCCTCACTCTTCCATTAGAGGGAGTGTTGGCCTTCACTCAATCAAATATAGTCTCCAAATGGGTACTTCAAGTGCAGATGAGGGAGAACACACACACACATTCACACACACACACCTTCAATGCCTGGCTGTGGAACTCTACTACATGCATAAATTTCAACACATAAATCTGGACACACACGCAGTATTTCTCACCGTTGTGCTGAATGGACAGAGGTAACACACAGATCATTAGCATTAAGTGTTTGCCTTTAAGAAGAATACATGAGATTTAGACGCGTTCACTGACAGTTTCATCATTTGGAATTTAAACAACAGCAGGTGGAGAGAGGACTCACAGAGGTCTTTATGCAGCAATACTTTATTTATATGAGGGTCAGATTATACAGAACTACAACACCTGTGTCAAGGTCAAATTAATAATAACAGTGTCGCTGAGACTAAGTATATTTCGCAATTATATTAAATAAAAAATGTTTTTTTAGCGTTCGTAATTTTGTTTCAGTGTTTGTTTTGTTCCTTAAAGAGTCAGAATTTAATTTAAAAATATTTACTTAGCGATATAATTAATTATATTATTCAGGATTTAATAATATCAATTTAATTAAAGAAGTAAAGTAAAGTAATATTTTATTATTCAATATCAAAGATGAACCACATTTTAAAATTCATATTTCACTTCACATTTTTGCACACACAGCATACATGAATAAAGAAGGTGGCGCTCTTACCCAGGGGCTCCAGTGTCCATTTATAAACATGTATGTATTTCTACTTAACATAAGAATGGCCTGGGGTCCTGTGAACCCCCTGCTCCCTGTGTCCACCTTCAATGGCATGGCTGCAGTTAGCATGACAAACTAGGGTCCAAGTTCTCGGACATTTCAATGCAACCCATTCCTCAAACACCGCCCCCTCAGTCCTCCTGTCCCTTCGTCTACATGTCCCCCAGGGCCCCCCCAGTGTCCCCCAACTCACTCAAGTTTGCCTCTCTGTGTGCACTGTGGTCTGTGGAGGCTGGAGGAGGACCAAGTTCAGGGGAGTTGAGGGGAGATGGCTGCTGCCTGGCTGAACACAGAGACACAGAGGGAGTTACTAACTTTGTTTACCTGAAGTTTTATCCAATTACACACTGATCAAGAAAAGAAAAAAACATCAAATTAACTTTAATAATAACGCTCGTGTAATCCAGGCAGTGTTCCAATGTTTTTTAGCTAACAAAACATCTGACCTTCCGGCATTAGGAGCTTGAACAAAGTGTAGAACACTCTGTGTTACATTTGGTGGCGCAACGACGCAGACCGAAGCAGCACTCAGGAGACAAGAATGAGGTGCAGAGAGTTTATTAATACATCAGCAAATTCAACATAAAACACAGAGGCGGCAGGAACAAAGGAAAAAACAAGAGAAGCACAACAGAAAGTCGACCTGGAGAACAGGAATGTGGAACCACAAGAACTGAAGGAACTGTACGCGCACACACAGAGAGAGAGGTAGGTATGAGACTGATTAACAGAGATGATTATGATGAGACTAATTAACTCAGACAGACCTGACACTTTATGGAACATTCCACAGACAGTATGTCCATTGCTGTAACAGTACAGTATGTCACTATTTCCGGTTCAGTAAAAGTTGTGTTCAAATGGGGGGGATTTGAATGGTGCGTTAAAAGTTAGAAGTCAGAATTCAATATAGAACATTTACACATTAAAAATGTCAAAAATGTGTATAAGCTATTTACTACAAAATATAATGCCGTAGTGCAATAACTGATTATTACTTTGTTTCCTACTCCTTGTGTTTATTCTATAAATAGAATCTGGACAATCAATTTAATAGGTGTAAAAATGTTAAAGTGTCATATACATATATAAATATATATAGATGCATACATCTATATATGGTTATATACATTTATATATGCATATATATGTATATACACATACATACATACATAAATATATATAGATGCATATATCTATCTATATACAGTATTTCTATATGAACATGCATGTATATATACATATATCTACAGTATATATATCCATACACACATATACACTTACATATATGTATATTTATATTAATATTATACACATGTAATGGAATGTTTCCAAGTTTCTACAGCAGCTAATTCGTTTCGACAGTTTTCAGTGAATCACACTGATGGTAATCAACAACTCCAACAGAAAGCAGGGATTTGTGTGCAAAACTAACATATAGTGACAGGAACAAGAGAAAGACGAGGCGTTTTACACACGCCGCTCTGTTACAGCGCCATCTTTCTTTAGGTACCCCCCATAAACTCTATTATTTGGTTTTACTGCTAATGAGCTGCTTGCTGCAGCTCTGTCACGCCGCTGAAGGCCTCTGTGTGGTTAACAGAGACTCTCCAATCGACAGGCTAACAAGTGAGCAATTAAAAGACAATTAGTTCAACCCCCAGGGTTTGGTCAAGTCAATAATGGGCTGTTGTTGCAGCATCAAGGCCTGAGCAGCAGCAGCAGCAGCAGCAGAGGTGGAGAGGTGGTAGGAGAGTGAACAAGGATAGATAAAGTTTGGATAAACGGTTATTTTTTATTTAAATGAAAGTACAGTGAACACCCGAGATAGGAGCTTCCCAAAATTGAGTATTCCATGATACGAGTCTGCAACTATGGCAAGATTTTCCCTTGATACAAGGAAATATCTAGTTACAAATGTTTTCTTAATTATTATTATTTTATATTATCTAAATATTTGTTTATATCTATGTTTTGGGTTTTTTAATAGGTACGGAATTTTAATTAAATTAATAAATACTATATTTCTGGGGCTGTTTAGTGTCACTACCATTAATATAAATACATTGTCAAAGGCATGGGCAAAGATTCTCACACTAGAAATAATTAAAAGGATTTCAGAATGAGATTTAGTCCATGTGGAATATAACATAAAAATGAAATGATTTACTGTGTGACGTGATGTAAAGGGAATGGGAAGAGGGATAAATTCAGCCCTGAGCTTTTTTGCCCCTGTTGTTGACCATCAGGAATAAGTGCTCCGTGCTGTTCCACTCCTGCACTTCACACACACACACACACACATACACTGCAGGTGACATGATCCGTAACTCTATCTATAGGTGTTATAGTATCATTCCTGCCATTAAAGAGGTTTTCCACCTTCCCAATGACCTGTGCCTCGCCTCACAGAACACAGAAAATGACCTGATGACAACGTCTGTTACTGTACAGAGGGTAAACCGAAATGTGTGTGTGTGTGTGTGTGTGTGTGTCTGTGTGTGTGTGTGTGCTTCATGGTCGCTGTGTGCACAGGCTGCTTTACAAAGAGTTCAACTTTCTCCCGGGTGAAGCTGGAGGAATCCAGCCAGGCCAGTAAGCATGTATATTAGGCCATCTCACAGCTGGCTGGCTGCTGCATGGGTGGCCCACCGTGGTCAATACTGCACTGGTCACAGCCTGGACACACAGAATGGACTAATCCCCCTCTGTCTTTCAGGCTTCGTGGTGCACACAGGCAAACACACTCTGAACTCTTTTTTTTGTCTTGTGGCTAGGACCATAGAGGTTTTCCTGGCCATAATCCAGGTCAGGAATAAAGCAAGTAAAGGTCGTCTGTGGAGAGACAGGGGGCCAGGGGGCAGCAGAGAGTCCATTTCAGCCAAGGCTTTAGGGCATGCTGGAATTACTGGGGCACCTTACAGGGAATACAGGGAGCAGTTGCCACCAAATATACCATCAATGTGTATGTGTTTATGTTCAGAGCTAGCATTGCTACAACATCCTAGCATCATCGTTAATGTTTAGAAATGTGACTATATTTTTTTGTCAATAAATCAATGAAGGCCATTCATATATAATATCAATTATTTTCATTATAATGTCAATTATAATGATATAGATTTTAACCTTTAACCTTTACTCCCCACCTCATTTCAAATTATTCATATTTATACAGTTTTCATAACATTTGTTTCATTTGTTATAGAGAAGGACCTGGAAACAGACCTGGAGTTCAGGACCATGGTGGAACAGAGACAGGAACCACGTGACACAGGACCATGGTCACACACTGATCTGACAAAGACAGAGTGAAGGAGACAGCTACATATATATATATACCCAGGGTACCAGGTGACACCATGTGACTAATTAACAGGTGATCAGATCACAGGTGAGAGTGATGACACTGATTACCACAGGAGAGACAAACAGAAGGAAGCAGCAGCAGGCAGACCTGGCAGTCAAGGCCAGGCATGGGCAAACTATGGCCCGGGGGCAATATGTGGTCAGTTTGGTTTTTCAATCCGGCCCACCAAACTTGTCCAAATTAATATTATAATTAATTCATATTATCATGATACTTCTGATTTTTTTCTGCAATTCCTGCATTTCACCAATAGATGGTGTAGAAAAGGCTAAAAGCATTTTAGCATTTTAGCCTTAAAGGCATTTTACATGTCATTTATCTTAGTTCACACTAACGCTGCATCTATCTGCTCAAAGTTTTGGACCCTTTGTGGCCCGTGAGTCAAAAAGTTTGCTGGGCCTAGTCTAGGCCTATACCGCTGATTTGACCCTTACCCCAACCCTTTTCAGTCTGACGCTAGTTACAGTAAAACTAGTTTTGCTTATATAATATTTGCTGTGCTTTAACTACCACAGGATCGAATACTGTATTGACTAATATAGTGGTTGATGTGGCATTGAGAGGGAAGACCGTATATGATCATAACTTATCGGTATGGACTAGCATTACATATAAGCTTTACCAAAGAGAAACATTTAGCATCTAACTTAGTAGTAGAGGGGATGTTAGCTTAGCCTTAGTTTGCCCATGCCTGCCTTAGATGAAGAAACTGAATTTTTTTATGCAGAAGCTTTAATGTTTGATATGAAATGTGTTGATGTTTTCCTTTTATTGTTTGTTAGTGAAAGAGAAAAATAGCCTTCATCACATTCTGTTCCAGTAGCAGACTTAAGCTACACGAGGTGGAAACAGGTGATCCAGAAAGATCACTGATCACCCCCTGACCAAATTCTTCATCGGGAGTTTTTTTTATTCCCTCCAGGCGACGTTAGCTCGCGTCTCACCGAGGAAGACCGGCAGAAACTGGAATTAATTTATTCCCTGAGTTATTACAGTTTTAAACGCTGCTAATGGAAATGACTCACGCAGATGTTAATGCTCATTCAACCATCGATTTATTATTCATTTGACTTTCCCTGGCTTGTTGCGCTGCTAGTAACGTCGACCTATCATCCCTGACTGTACTATGAGCTGTATTTGTTTTTACACATTACAAATAATTTAGTGTGAATTTACAACAAAAACAAAGTCATTCATGGTTTGGAGGCCTTTATATCAGTTTCTTTCCACGGAACACTGATCTGAAGTTATGAAACTCTGAGAAAGTCGTCCACCTTATGACCGTAAAGGGGGATTTTTTTTTTTTACTAAAATAGAATAGAATACAATTATGACAAGCTTTGAAGAGCATCTGACTGCTGCTGCCCCTCACGCCGCCATCTTGGCTCTACATCTATTGAGAGTCAAGGTCTCTCTTTGTCTGGGACTCTTGTCTTGTTGGAACGGCCACGTATCTGTCTTTTTTTATTTATTTTTTATTTTGATACAGATTTAAGTTTCGATTAGATTTTAGGAATAAATATGCAATCATCTGGAAATTGGTTTGTAACTTTAAAAAACTGAAGCACACTATAGAAAAAAACATTTTCATGTCAAGTCTCTATTATCCAACGCCCTAATCAATTCTCAAGTGTCATGCCAACTGGCTAACACTGCTTAGCTGTAGGTTATGGACTGAAAGCACTTATCTATGATTATGGTTATTTATTTATTTGTTATTATTATTTTATTATGCAGTGAAGTCCATTATCTTGTATTCCTGCAGTTTGTTCATGTCCATCTGTGGAAGAAATGTTTTTAAACTGATTTATAATTTCAATCTTTTTTATAATAAACACATTGAAAGTTCATAATAATCTGGTAACTGGTAGTCTAGGTTAATTAACCATTCTCTGATTTAAAACTTAAACTTACTTAACCACCAATGACATATAAATATAACATGATAATAAACAACACCTTTGATGTTTCATAAATAAAAATCTTTATTACAGGAAAATAAAACAGGTACAAAATATACTGTATTTTTGTACAAAGAAGTATTGTAGAAGTGTACAGTGGAACTGAGTCAAATACTCGTAGACCAACTACAGCTGACGTGAGGTTAGTCTGCAGACTTCCACAGTGGCATCAGTCTGCATCTGTTGAGAGAAATAAAACAAAACAGGACCATTAGTACCTGGAAGCTAATTGTCTTGGACAAACAACATATAAAGAACAGAAATCTGTGTTAGCACGACAGCTAACAACACTGCTAACAACAGGAACGGTGCAGAATGACGGTCTGCTTTATCATCACTTCATGTTAACGGGGGTGGTTTATTTTCTTGCGTGTCAACTGTCTGTATCAATGCTCCGCATGACCCTCCGAGTTTGCAGACAGCCATGGGTCAAAGGTCAAGGCAGAGCCTGTCTGGGCTTCCAGGATGACCCCAATGCCTGCAGCACATGCATACGTAATGGAGGGGAGGATGGGTTGCCCCCTTCCAGACTAATTTCACCTTTGGGATTAGGATCCAGACAGAAACACATTGACCCCCAAACCAAACCAAACACACACGCGCGCACACACACACCCAGAATACACTTGGTCATAAACCAAAACCCTGTTGTACCGCGTGATGTGGAGGAGCCAAAAGATGCTGAGTCCGAGAAGGCTATCTAATTATCTCACAGAGCTGTGTTAAAGAGGAGAACAGAGGAGGCCTGGGACCAGGAGTCACGGCGCTGTACAGAAATGGGAGCTGATACACAGTTACTATTCACAGATACAGGGCACCGGGGATACACACACACACACACACACACACACACACAGCTATTAAAAATGTGACAGATGAAAATGTACAAGAAGTGTTCCACCAGGGGAGTGGCTTATTTTTAAACCAACTGTGTTCACTCCCTGTTACATTTGCTTTTAACCCCAACATTGATGTAGCTGCTGGAGGTTAGAGTGAGGTTCATCACTGAGGATTCAAAATATAAACTGATTTTTGTAAAGAACAAAGAAAAAAACAAAACAAGAGAAAGACAAAGAGATAAGGAGAAAGAGTTCCAGGACTGCTTGTTCTCAGCACAGACAGACCAGCAGAGGTCAGAGTCAGAGAAACTGACAGGCATCACTGCCACTGGGAAATCTCTCCAAACAGGCCCAGAGTGTTAAGCCGGCTAATCCCCCGTATTATTGCAACATCTGTGAGGTCGAGAAAGGCTCTGCCGGTGATTAGCCAGACAGATGTAAACAATATCCTACTGGATAGAAGGGTGAGGGAAGAGGAGAGGAGAAGACTGTGTTAGATTTGTCTGGATGGCTGGAAGCGTATGAGAGATGGAGCGTTAGTGGAGAATATAAAGCAGGTAAGATGGGACTGAACATGTCAAGGGATTTAGAGGAGGGAGACGAGGAAGTGGAGGTTTGACCAAAAAAAGAAGCAGGGAGAGGTTACTACAGTTATTCTGGAAGACAGAGCTGAGACTGGGGAGATGAGATGCAAAGAAATAAAGCTTTAGACTACAGTGAAAAAAAAAGAAAGAAAAAAAAAGGTGACAGAATGAAGGGAGAAGGAGCAGCAGATTGGGAGACGGCAGACCCGGGGCCAGGCGTGCTTCAACTGGCTGACGAGACACCAGGGAGACATGGCTAATTTATGCAGAGTTAGGCCAATGGGCTGAGGAGTGGTGGGTGTCTGGGACCCTCTCAATGGGCCTGAGAACTGAGGGGAGCAGCTACGGGTGCCAGCAGTGAGAGAGCAAGACAGGCGCCGAAGGGAGGGGTGGTGGGGCGTGGGGGGAGTATCTTTGGGAGAGACAACAAGGGGGGTGGAGGCTGCTCTATTCAAGTGAGACTGTCCGTCTGACGTCCTATTATGGGTTGGGACAGGGCATGGGGGGAACGAGGTGATAAAGGAAGAGGTTAGGAAGCTGGAGGAGCGGAGGAGGAGAAGTACGGGAGAGGCCGACTCTCTGCCCCCTCTCTGAAGCACTTCCCTCCCACTCCAGTCGTCGTCTCCAGTCTGGTTACCTATTAGACTCACAGGGCCGTGTGTGTGCTGCTCTGCATACTGATTCCACATTACCACGGCCTCGGACGTGAGCGAAAAAAAACACACACACTTTATCAGAGACTAGTAATCCAGCTGATGTGTTTACTGCGCGAGTGCTGAGGAGCGTATGGAGCAAGTACACAGGCCGGGGTAGTGGTCCGTGGCTTCCTTAGCTAATGCTAAGAACAGCGGAGCACTATTGGAATGCTTTCTATCAAGTGACTTTTGATGACATATATAATGTATATGTCACATATATATCATCAGGAAAAACCCCACAGCAACCTCACAAATAGTATATGCAATGAAATATAACAATCTTCTAGTTTAAATGACCTCATAATTGACTAAAATCTCAGCCTGTTTAGTTGAACACAATGCTGATGTACTGGCAGGAATTGAAGAAAGACACTCATAAAGATCTTCCTCAACAGATCTCATTATCTGTTTTGTGTTTCAACTTGGTCTATGTCTTAAAATGCAGCTCGACTTAGCTTAAGACAGGCATGTCAAAGGTCCGGCCCGGGGGCCAATTGTGGCCCATGGTCACAGCCTGCCAGCACACACAACACATACACATATCAGATTCCTAGATTTTCTTCTTAGACTTTATCTTATATATCTTTTTATATCTTCAGATATGAGCGGCAGAGTGATTTTGGTAAGAACTGGATTGGATTTTTGGATTTTCACTCCCTGTGATGAAATACAAAATACACCGATTGCGATCAAATTTCCATATATAGGTCATTTGCATCTATTTCTGTATAAAGTCAAAGCGAAGCTGAACTCATGTACTGTTCAAACCCCCGGCAAAAAGTAGAGCGGACAGCCAGAGGAGGTGATGGTGGACCGTGGTGCTGCAGCGGGACACTTTAATGACAGTCCACACCAGTGAGCACGTGGAGCTCCCACAGACGCACACGCACCATGTGACATGTCCACATGTATGTGTGATATACGGCGTGGCGTTTTCTGAAACCGACACCGGGGCTGGTGAAAATGAAAGCCAAAGAAATGTTTCTGTGTACGACCCCGTGAGTAATAACTGCAGGGCTTTCAGACGACCAACTGGCTTCACTTAATTCTGCTGAAATAAAAGAGTGAAGTGAGTCGTTGTTCACACGGACACAGCTCTCAGCATGGAGACAGCAAACACCACACAAACCTGGGAAATAATAGTGATTGTTAGTGATGCACAGCAGCAGTAAAAAAAAAAAATCCAGAAGCTATTCACTCTACATACACATGGCGGCTGTTTCTGATCTGTGTCGCATCTCGTCCAATAGGAGCCTTTCTTGTCTGCGGTTTAAATGCGAGCCCAAACAAAGACGTACAGCTACCTCATTAAAAAAACATGTCATCGGATCAGGCCAGCGCTGAATTGTGTGATATTTCCCTCCTACCATTAGTGACCGTGACTGAGCGTCAGGCTGAATGAGACGCTGGACAGAGGCCTACCCACGGAGCACCACACCACATCCCACTGGGAACCACCCCTTCACAGAGGGGGACACATTTAAAGCTTTGTTGCTCTGTTAACACAGCTTCTTATAAAGAGCCTTTTTATGGACTCTGCTAAGCAAACTGCAAACCTGGTTTTTCCTGTGCCAGCGGAAGACATGATGGATGATAGGGAAGACAGACAGACAGACAGACAGAAAGATGAAAAGAGCAAAACATGAAAAGACAAAAAGAGAAAGAAAAGAGAGAGAGAGAAAGAAAGAAAGAAACTGAAATAAAAAAGAGAAAGAAAGAAAGAAAGGAAGGAAGGAAAAAGAGAGAAAAAACGAAGAAAGAAAAGAGGAAAAGAGAGAGAGATAGTAAGTAAGAAAGGAAAAAATAAATAAAAGGAGGAAAAAGAAAGAAAGAAAGAAAGAAGAAAAGACAAAAAAGAGAAAGACATTTTTTGACGATTCTTTGAACAAAGTAGCGTCAAGTGGCTCAGAACAGTGAAAGGAAAGGAAACGTGAAGCGTTATCAAATAAACACAAGTTAAAAATAAATCTGTGGTCGAAACTAAAATAATGTTTCTTTATTTCAACTCCACGTCAAAGCCGCGCCGAGATGAGGACAATCAAACCCCATGCCCACAGTTGTGTGCTGTGCATGTGCTCCGGCTGCATCTCCTCACCTAAGAATAGAACTTTGCAGCAGTTGGATGCAGCAGAATCAGGTCATTGACAAACTGCACCATCTCACAGTGTCCTCTAATACACGTTTACCCACAGGACTGAACATATCCTGCTGCTAAAACAATAGGTGTGTGTGTGTGTGTGTGTTGTCCTGCCCGGGCTGGGCTGGAGGCCAGGGCTGGAGACCAAGTCTCACAGGGTGCCCGGGATGACAGTGAAACGAATAACAATAAACTTGCTGAGAGTCTAGTTCAGAACACGAGGGGCTGAGGACCAGGAGCACAGCACACCGCGAACAAACACCGGTACACTGGTGAAGATGTGTGTCGACACCGCGGAAACATCTTCATATGAGCAGATTAATGTGCACCCGGCTGGATGAAAACACACACACACACACACACACACACACACACCTCCTCTTCTTGCTCCCCTCCTTTTTCCCATCTCGCCGAGCACACGCAGCCAGGACCCCATCCTTGATATTTTATTGCTGTCTGCTGTGTGCCTGATGAAAAGGCAAAAAGAACTCAGGGGTTACTGATGGCTAAAGGCACACGGCTAAGTCAAGCCTGCATAAAGCCCCCATGAAGGGGGTGTAATAGGGGGCTTTTTGGAGGGGGGGGCATTGGCAGGGATCCATCCCACCGTATGCGTCACTACCCATATCGCATGTTCTTCGAATGTATTAGCCTGCAACAGGAGAGAATGTAGCCGAACAGCCAGCAGTGATGACTGTCTACAGGGCTGAGAACGACTCTGAATACATTTACATTAATGTTGTCCACGAACTGCTGTACGACGGCCAGGCTGGAGTTGTCCTGCGGAAAGTCTGATTGGTGACGGAAGATAAGGTCAGAAAAAGTCAAACAGAGATAAGGTTGCCCTCCCCACCCCCCACTGCCTAAGAAGTGCATTAAAAATGTTAAAAGTCAATTAAGTATTT